GCAGGAGCTCAAAAGGTAGCGGAAGAAAAACACGGTACGGCTACAGAGGAAAGTAGGCAGCATGGTCGAGCGCCAAACACAAAAGCGTAGGCCAAAATTTATCACGCCAGCAGACGGCTGTAAGAGCGAGGTGTTTGGGTAGCAACGGCGTCCAAAATAGAAATAAGGCTATAGCGTCAGATGCGCAAGAAGTAACACAAGAACAAACAATCACAAAAAACGATACAAAAAACAAATACAAGGTACAAACCAGCGCCAGGGTCGTAACCAGCCAGGGGCAGATTGCACCATGGTGGAAAGAGCTGCTGACATGGCGAGGGAATGTATGCAAACAAGAAAACAAGAACAGGCGGTCGCCGGTGTCCCAACAAGGTATTTTCACCGGGCAGTGGCTGAAGGCGGCGCTGTTGTTGCTGAAGCGGGCGCCGTTGTGGCCGCAGTTGGAGCTGTTGTGGCTCCTCTGGATTCGTCGACGTTCCTTCGGATGCCACGCATGAAGGAGCTGTTGCGATGTACTTGCAGACACCAGCAACCGCAGACGGCGTGATGTTCGGAGCTGTAGTGGCCGGGGGCGAGGGAGATCTTGATCGGCCCGGGGTCGTCAAGGAAGCGGACGATGTAGAGGTCAGCAGTGGTGGTGTGCCGCGATATTTTGCCCAACCACCAGAGCGCATCTTTGGCTTTGTACCAGAAGTAAGCTCCTACGGGTATGGCGGTGGCGCTGAAGCGGCGGATGAGGGTGTCGCGGGGCACGTAGGTGTAGCCAGGTGAAGCCGCACGTTCTCCTTTGGAGCGGGAGAGTTCTCGAGCAGCGGCTCCTATGCGCATGTTGCGGTACAGACGGTTTTGTTGGCCGTGCTGATCCGGTGTGCCACACCAGTAGCGAAGGATGTGGTGACGCGAGTGTTGTAGGTCGATTTCTCGTTCCCAGGAGGGTCGAAGCAGGCCGTTCCAGTGTGTTTGGTAGAGAGCAGCGAGTACTCCGCCGCGTCCGCGGACAGTTTGGTGGCTTGTGATTTCCTCTACTTCAAGGCGTTGAAGGGGCGTGGAGACGTCATCCGCGGTGACGTGGTACGGAGGTGATTTGTTGTTGTAGTTGTTGAGGACGTATCTGGTAAGGCCAGCAGGCAGGAAGCGGGGTATGTCAGTGTCGTGAGCGTGGTGGCACGGCTTGCAGCGTACTACGGAGACGCGGTTTTTGGCGTCGGCGCCGGGCATGTCGTTGGGCAGGTCCAAGTAGAGGAGTTTGTTGGCGATCGGACGCCCATCTGGTGCTTTGTCGCTAGGGCCTACGGCAAGAATTTTGAAGGGCCCAGTCCAGTTTAAGGAGAGCTTGGCTTTGAGAACCTGCGAGTCCGAGGCGGAGGCAGAGGCGGTGGTGGAAGCTCCTTGGCGAATTGTCGATACCTGATTGTACACCCAGACCCAGTGTCCTGTCTTGTAGACGGGTCGTCGGTGAAGTGCATCCGATAGTGACGAATTCCTGCGCTCGATTTTGTCGACGTTGAGCGCGTGTTGCTCTCGAACGAGGTCGTAAGCGCGACGTTGTCTGTCCACAGCGAGGTTGTGGTATTCAAGTTGATCCTTGGCCAGGCTTTGGTGTCCGCGAGCGTAGATGTTGTCGAAAACGGTCATGGGGAAGCGGGCGAGTCGGCCGATGTGAACTTGGTTGGGTGCTAGCCCTGTGGCGGCGCTCACGGTGTTGTTGTAGGCAAATTCCACATGCGGGAGGTGTAGATCCCAGTCATCTTGCCTCTCATTGACGGATACAGCTAGCATTTGAGCCATTGTGTGGTTGACGCGTTCCACGCCGCCGTTGCTGCAAGGGTGATAGGCGCTGGTGGTGATTTTGCGTACGCGGAGAAGTTTGAAAATGGCGTCAGAAAGCTGCGAGGTGAAGTGGAGACCATTGTCGGAAAGAAGGCTCACTGGACATCCCCAGAGTGGAATGTATTGATTGACGAAGATATTGGCGGTCCCTTCGGCCGTGTATTTCGCAGGGGAGACTGCGTACATGTCGGCGCGCCTGCTAAAGCGGTCGGTGAATAGCAAGATGTAGGCGTTGCCGCGTGGAGTAGTAGGGAGCGGTCCAAAGTAGTCAACGCTGACGGCCACACCTGGCCCTGATGGCAGGGGAATGGTGAGGATGGGCCATCGTATAGTTTGTCGTGCTGATTTGCGGCCTTGGCATGTGTAGCATTGTCGAGTCCAGAAGCGGGCGCAAGAGCTCATGCCAACCCACCAGTAGAGTTGTTCCAGAAGGCTGATGGTTTTGGCGGTGCCAAGGTGGCACAGAAGAGTGTTGGAGTGGCATTGAAGCATTACCCAAGGACGCATGTGTACTGGCACATAGATGCGCGTGGGTTCATTGTCGAGAAGGCGAGCAGCTCTACCGCTAGGACGATCGTTGTCGGAGTTTGGCGGTTTGGTAAATTGTCGAACCAAGAGCGGATTGCCGTCGTCATCGGTGATAATGCGACCTTTGGTGGCCAATTCCTTGATGTTGGTGAGGGAAGGACGCAAGTGTTCTGGGGTGTCGCCGTAAAAGTCTGTGGGCAATGCCAAAGGTTGCCCAAGTTGAATGTAGCGAATGGCGGAGTTGCAAGTGACGTCCTTTTGTTGTTCCTCATGCCAGTCGGCGTGTGTGAGGCGCGCTACAGAGTCCATGAAGGATATCTCAGCCGGAGAAGGTAGTGGCGATGGAAGTGACGAAGAAGCTGAAGTGGAGGGGGTCCCTGTGGATGGTGTGTCTGCCGATTCCGGCAGAGGTTCTGCGAGAGGTTCTGAGGGAGCAGTATTATTTGCGGTTGGTACGGTGGGTACAAGTTCAGCGGTGGTCTGCGCAGGTGGCGTAGAAGGGTTCGTGCGCGGCCTGCGTGGCTGTGCAGCAGGTGCTGGTGCCGCAGTGGCGGAAATGTCTGGGCTGAAGCGGTAAGTTACTTGAGGCAGAGGATTCCCCGATGTTGCAGCTGCGCGGCGTCGAGTGCGGGTGGATATCAAATCTGATGGATCCAAAGAACGCGGGCGCAACCGAGAAGGAGAGAGAGACCGCTGAAGTGCAGGTGCTTCCAGGATGTCTGGCCTGGAGAGAGCTGCAGTTGCAGGGGGCATTGTCGAACTGGCAGGTTGTGCCGGAGATTGAGCGGCAGACTGTAGTGTGCCGGGATGGTGTTGAAGATTTGAAGACGGGGGACGTACTGTGGTAGGACGTACTGTGGTAGGGTCCTTGCTATGATGGTCCAAATGTCGAGGCAAAGCCGATTGATGCACTGTGTTGATGTCGCACAACGCAGGAGAGTGGCGAGAGCGGAGACGTGAGTTGTTGTTGGAGGCTGACAGAAAAGCACGAGCTGCGAATACTCCGGGAGGAGCGTCGAGGTCGTCAATGCTCATTCGGAGCCCGTGCCGGCGAAAATCCTGAAAATCCGCTGGTGTCAGTGGGGAGCCACTCAAAATGTCGGTGCCGTTGTTGGGTACTAGCCCACCCAAAGCAATACCCTGTGGAGAAGGACCAGAAGGAGTGTTGCCGGTTGCGCGAATCATGTAGACACCCACATCATCTGGCATGGTGATGCGGCTATCTCCTGTGATGTCCTGCGGAGTGGCGGGTATGGGTAGTCTAGACAGCATGTCGGCGTTGCTGTTGGAGGAGCCCGGGCGGTGTTTGAGCGTGTATTGATACGCTGTGAGGAACTCAAGCCAACGCTGCACGCGTGGGCTGTGGTCTCCCACCTTGGAGATGTTCTCCAGTGCCTGATTGTCCGTCCATATTTGGAAGTGTGTGCCGCGCAAGTATCCACGCAAGCGTTTGATGGCCCAAACGATGGCGCCAGCTTCCAAGTCGAGTGGTGTCCAGTTGCGCTCAGCGTTAAGTGTCGATCTGCTGATGAAGACGATGGGGCGAACAGAGCCATCCGCTTGTTCTTGTTCTAATGTCGCGCCCAGACCATCGACTGCAGACGACGCCAAGTGTGACGGGATGTGACGATCTCTGACGCGGGTTTAGTGTGGAGCTAGTCCGACCACTGTGTGCAGGTTGGAGCCGCTTCGCTTCTTCAGTCTGTTTCCTTCCTTATCCTTCCTTTCTCTCTCAGTCGCTCGCTATCGCTCACTCCCAGGCAACACCAGGGAACACCAGGCAAGACACTGAGCAAGGTGGAACGCTTGCACTCGCTTGCTACTGCTAGTAACCATTGTACTGCTACCTGCCTAAAGTCGGAATACTAGGAACCTGGGCAGGTGGTCGGGATATTCCTGAAAGATATACCCGCCCAGATGGTATCTTAGTCCAAGGGTCCAAATACCATAACACTGCTCAGTACGTACCTTCTTCTGTCCGTATTAGTCTAACACTTGACGGGATCAACTCCCGTGGTCAACGGCTTACCCAAAAAAGGTATACGACAATAAAATGGAGTCCGCAAGCCAATAAAAATCAACGAAATATATAGGGTAGGCCACTCTGCTCGCCTCTCTGCACGCTATGCGTGGTAACCCTAGATTGGAAAAAGATATAGAAAGAGTAAAAAGAAAAAGAAAGGAAGAGAGCAGATGGAGAGAAGCAAAGGGAAAGAGAAAGACATGTCATGTGCAGTCAGTCATAGAAAATTTCTACATAACAGCGTTGTTTGCCTCTCTTTGTTCCCCTCGCTGCTCGTATATCAAGCACTGCAGCAGTGCAATGCAGCCGGCGCGGCGTCGTTTGCGATAACAAGTAAAAATCCGCCGTCAAACAGCGCACGACTATACGATCACGGCTCCATCGCCTCTACGCCTCCAAGCACTTGCACGCCCGCATACTCACCCAATCGCTGGGGAAATTTGAATTACTTGCGCTCGATTGAGATCTACGCACGGACGGACGGATGGATGTGGTCGGCGCAATGTATCACTGACGCGCGTACTGCTTGCGGGTGCTGACGCTTTCTTGATTACAGCATCCAAGCTGCACGTTGGACTCCGAAGTCTCACAATAATCCACCTGTTGGCCAGATGAAGGCATGATGGCGAGTGAGTCTGAAATAGCTACTGTAGACCAGCTTACAGAGACGATCTACGCGAGAGATGGTCGCTATGAAAATACTGCGAGGTACAGACGCTCTGTGTTCCGATCCCGGAAGAGCATTAAGGAATAATAAATACACACACAGAAAGACTACCCATCGAGATATACCCACAGTCGAACGGGATGTGGTGGAGTCTTTTCAGTGAGTGGAGGAAAACCATGAAGCAGGATGGATGGCGTTGACGGTTCAGAACCAATTGCGGCGCAATTCCACGTTCCGCTCTGCGTGGCCCCGTCCCCAATCCGACAAGTCCGACAATCCGACTTGCAGCTGCTGCAGCAAGCACCACGCCTTGGTGAACTAGCTTGCACCTGCTACCATGTCTGTGCCCCGAAAGGTTCTGCTGAGCGTCTTGGCGATCACGCATGTGCTCTCACTCGTACCTCCGTTGTCAACCCCACCTTCTTCACGGACCACAGGACTGCTTCGTGGCCGAACTGCAACCTCAAACCACAGCAGGAGAGGCAGCGGCAGCAGCCGCGTCGTCAGATGTCGGCATCGACCACGCCAATACACCGTGGTGGGAGAGGGAGGGGCGGTAGCTGCTGGGGATTCGCTATCGATGGCGGTGGGCGAAAGAAAAGCTGCGCTAGACCGCAGCAGCATCAGTAGCAGGCAACGTCGGCGAAGTGCACGCAGGTGTCATGATGCAACGGCAGCACCCACCACGGACGGTGGTGGCACCGGTAGCAGTAGCAGCAGCAGCAGCAGCAGCAGTAGCACAATAAAAGGAGGAGTGGCATCGCAAGATTCTCCTGTGCCACCACGAGACGAAGGAGGCATCTTCTCCTCCACGCCCAACGGCGCCGCTGCCGCCGATGCCGGTCCCGTCAACGGAGGAACGTTCCGCGAGTTGTTCCGGGGCCGCCTGCCAGACTGGCTGTTGAATCGCCTCGAGCAGCTCGGTTTCGCGACCCCGACGCTGGTGCAGCGCCAGGCCCTCGAGGTCATCCTGGGAGAGGAAAAGCACGACGCCGTGCTGCACGCGCAAACAGGCAGCGGCAAGACCCTTGCGTTTCTCCTGCCGCTGCTCGGCCGAGTCGATCCCTCGCGGGCGGCCGTCCAGGGGCTCGTCGTGGTGCCGACGCGCGAGCTGGGTCTCCAGGTGGCTGGCGTAGCCAAGCGCCTCGCCGCGGGAACGAGCTCGGGCAGGGATAGCAAGATCCAGGTGCATCCTTTGCTCGGACAGGCGTCGGCAACTTGCACCGTTGGCGGTTCGACGGTCTTTTTTTTTTTATGTTAGCCTTGGATCACGATACCCCTTGTACCGACAACAGAGTAGTGCTGGACGTTGTCACACGTTGCAATGTGGATCTGGTTTTTGTCATAACCCAGCTTGGTCAGCTTGCTGTTCCCAAACCACGTAGCTATAGGTAGTACTTCGGTCGCAATCACGATTTTCTCCTACATAGAGAGCAGACACGTGCACCTTTTTTTAGTGTTGTTGCACCCGGCCAGGTAGACCACCTTACACCGAGAAACCTCACACACGCTCCCTCAACGTAGGTTATGTCCGTGCTCGAAGGGTCCAGCAACAAGCGGCAGCGCGCGTGGGCCTGGGCGGACCCCCCGCACATCGTCATCGGCAACCCGGAGAGCCTGACGCGGCTTGTCACGACCGGCGCCGTCCGCGTAAACGCCGTGTCATACGTGGTCGTGGACGAGGTGGACGCGTGCCTGCTGTCGGAGGGCACCCGTGCATCGCTGCACGAGCTCCTGGCCCGCAGCCTGTCCCCGACGCACGCTGACGAGGACGAGGGAGAGGTACGCCCAGCAACAAACAGCAGCAGCAGCTGCTGCTACTGTAATACATGCGTACTCCAACAATGAGAATAACAGCAGCAGAAGTACCCACAAACAATCAAATCTTGTTCATGGCCTGCAATCATTATTTTTAGAGGCTTACCACTTCCGACTCCCTGCTGTTGAGTAATCAGTCTAGAGTGGCGGTCGACCATCAAAGGGGTCCAAAACAAGGTCTAGGGCACCCACCGGAAGCGGCATTTCACGTCGAGCAATAGTAAGACGAGATCAGACTTTGCGGGTTTCCTCGTTCCTTTCTCTCGCCGTCGCCACCGCCCGTCTCTTTTTGTTGTGTTGTTAGTCTTCGAAAATATCCGTACAATCAAAGAGAGACTACCCATTCGAGATAATGCCACAGTCCGTTTTTCTGACGACGAACCGGCCAATCATCGTCGAGCAGGACGAGGAGGGGGCGGCGAGACTGGCCGAGGTCGGGGCCGGGAGGGTGACGGGGGCGGCGGCGCCGGTGAACAGGAAGCTGAGGGACAGGCAGACCGTGTTCGCGAGCGCAACCGTGCCGCAGCACAACCACTTCATCCGGCAGTGCGTCCAGGTACGGCGGTATCTTCCATAGGTAGGCACCGCAGCACCAATCACTTCGTCCGGCAGTGCGTCCAGGTAGGGTGGTTTCTTCCGTATGTAGGCACCGCAGCACCATCACTTCGTCCGGCAGAGTAGTATCTTCGGTAGACAGGCACCGCAGCGCCACCACTTCATCCGGCAGTACGTCCTGGTAGGGTGGTATCTTCCGTAGGTAGGCATCACGTTTGGCCACAACAAAAGTGCATCGCCCAGGGGCCACATCAGGAAGGGACGGAAGATTCCAGCATGAACCTCGCGGAGGAAGTTGGGGGAAGAACATATGTTTTGTTCTAGGGGGAGAGAGGCGGAGGTCCACACGCACGTACAAAGCAATTTGCCAAACGTCCAAACTGACCCTATATTTCCGGCCAGAGTAACACTTTTGTGGTGACAATACGAGTCCCCGACGAGATCGGTGGACACGTGTGGTGAATATTGCGTCCCGTACGCCTTTTCTCCTTTGTCCCGTTGACACCGTCCCAATCCTGCGTACCACGGTGAGTGAAACCATGAGTTCCACTCCCCGCGAGGAGCAGATCATGTTTTCGTTCCGGCGTCGTTGACATCGCGGAATCCATGTACGGACGTGTTTTTCCAAACGCCGACTTGGCAGAAACAATGGACGCTGACCGAGCCGGTTCACGTACAAGTGCACGCCAAGGAGGCCATGCCGCCGTGCCTGTCCCACTACTACGTCGTGTGCCCGCCGGAGAAAAAGTTAGCGGTCCTGAGGGCCCTGGTCAAGCGAGAGCTCGGTGTATCAGCTTCTGAAGCAGCAGCAACCGCGGCAACAGGAGCGCCAGCAGCAGCAGCAGCAGGAGCAGCAGGTGCAACAGCCGTAGCGACCACGGCGGGGGAGGGAGATGGCCCATCGGAGGGTCAGGCAGGCGGTGGCGGCGTTACTAACACCGCCCTCCAGACGGACACGAGGGGGCTCGTGTTCGCGCTGGCCACCAAGCCCCTCGAAGGAATCGCGGCGTCGCTCGACAAGGCGCTGGGTGGGCGCGGGAGCGGGGGCGGGGGCGGGGGCGAGCGCGGCGGGAGAGAGCAGCAGCAGCAGCAGCAGCAGCAGGCGAAGGGTTGGGATGAGCAACCGCCACAACCACCATTGGCGGAGTTTTTGCGACAGGAGCTGGGCTTGAACGCGCGGGTGAGGACGACGGAGACAGGGGTCGACTCGCATGATGAATGTTGTCGGTTTAGATACTCTTCATTCCATCTGACTGACTTGGTTGAGATGCTGGGGGTTTGCTGTGTTTTCGGCACAGCCGCGCGAATGAGGCCGGTTCCATCTAGTGAGAAATTGTTTCTGGCACTTGTGGCAGCGGTGTAGAAGACCGTGTGGAAGACTTTGAGCCGTGTCGGCCCTTGCACCGGGCAAGTGTGTGCATGACACCTAATCCGAGCGGCAGAAATCATGACACTGCATAGGTACACTTTTTTCGGCACCGCCCGCGACGTTTGCGTGTGCTATTTGTCCTGACTTTGAAGCTCCACCGCTGCTGCTGTTGCTGCGAACTCGTTTAATCGGCGGGTGGTTGCTTGGCAGGCTGACGCCATGTCGTTATTCCGCGAGGGCAAGACGCGCCTTCTCGTGTCGACGGATATGGCGGCGAGGGGCTTGGACGTGCCGGAGGTGAGGTCGACCTTTCTCCCCCCCCCCTGTACGTTGGATGCGTTGGGCCTGTGGCCGCCAAAGCCTCTTCCCTTGCTTTAAGGCGGGCTCGAAATTGTCGTAGAGGTCGCTCGCTAGGAATGGAGACCCTGCGGGTAGAAGCCAGTACAGCCGTGTGTCAGCGTGACAAATTACAGTGACGGCAACAACCACCACACTCGCATCTTAATTGCAGAAGTATTTCCGGTGTAAGTGCAACCAAGCGTTAATGTGTGTTTCGAGGCTATCTCTTGGCATTTTCCCCTCGACGATTGACCTCATTCAAGTGAAATGTTCATGTAGCGGGCATTTTGTTTTGTAGGTTCCGGCAGCTGTAATCTAGCCCCTTGCGTGGGATCGACGCAAGGAGCCTCAAGCATCTGGAGTGTATATTTTCGCCTTGTGGCCGGGTAGTATCGGTACTACGTACGCAGTCCGACGCGGCCCGTTCCTGTAGATGACGCAGTAGTGGTGAGAGCGCTTTGATGAGCCCTTTCGCTTGGTGTGTCCCCCCCCCGCCCCCCCAGTGACGCGCGTCTTCGGAGCACGGTTGACGAACATGCTTGCTTTGGCGAAAACCCCTGCGAGATGACTCGATAGAGGAAACCCTGTGCTCGGCCGCCTTCCAGGGATTGCAGAGCCCACGGCTGCTGTCCCTCTTTTGCGTGGCGATTGTTGGTATTGCCGCCACCTTCGGGGAAGTCAGTCGCTCGAGACAGGTGCCCCGCACGCCCCTCTTTACACCGATGAAGACCCAGATTTTCCCGATTTTTGCCGCCGACGTCTATCGCCCCAACAGTACTAACCCACTTCCTGCATCGTACTTGCTGCGGCCCGGCAGATTACGCACGTTTTCAACCTTGATCTGCCGCTGGACGGGGAGGGGTACGTGCACCGAGGGGGGCGCGCCGGGAGGCTAGGCAGGCCGGGCAAGGTAATCTCGCTCGTGACGCCCCAGCAAGAGTTCGTCATACGGCGACTGGGAAACGGGATCGGGGTGGACATCAAGAAGATAAACCTGGGGTCCTCGAGGAGGAGACCGAAACGGTAACCCGAGCCTCTGCCTAGCTTGTCTTGCTGGCCTTTTCCTCGCTGCAGAGCCCTTTAGCGATGGATCGGCAACGATTCCTTGGGGCTGATTGGATAACCTCGCAGAGAGACTAGGGGATACTGGAGTTTGCGAAACAACAGCAGCCTGGACCTTCCCATGTAGTTTTCGTGCTAGTGCTTCCGCGCTGGGGGGTCCTTTTAGTTCTGGATAAGCAACGGTTCCTTGGGGCTAGTTGGGTAACCTCGCGGAGAGTCGCAAAAGGTACTGGGCTTGGCGAAACAGGGCCCTGCCTAGCTTTCTTGCTGGTGCTTCCGCGCAGGGGAATTGAATCAGCAACGGTTCCTTGAGCTATTAGTAGTGCGGTAAGCTCGCAGACAGACGAAGGGAGACAGAACTGGGTCCAGCGAGGACCCGAAGTGCGACCCCGAGCCTCCTTCTTTCCTCTTCCTCGTTTGCTGAGGAGAGTCCTCCCAGATTCGGATCAGCAGGGTGTGCTTACGCTCGGTCGATAACGAGAGATATTTTGCGTTGGATCAGCAAGGTTTGCTCGGGATGCTCCTGGTGAGGAATAAAAGGAGGAACGGTGATCGGGAGGTGTGCCACCTTTGTCTGAGCCTTGGCCTTCTTCCTTTATTCTCTACCGAGAAATCCTGTGTTGGGAGTGGTAGGGGTCAAGCAGGGTCCCCACGCAAGCGCGCGGATGAAGGACGCGAATAAATTCTTCACTGGTGTGGTCGACGCGGGTGACGGCGGCGGTGACGGGGGGTGACTTGGAACAAGAGCACGCAAGCCGATAGGGCGACGAAGATCGAGGGAACCAGCCGCCAGACAAAGGTGTCAGGGCTTTGGCATGCAAGGGGTCGGGTGATCTTGTTGGCGCTTCCTCTCGTAAAGGCTCACGAGCTAAAGAGCTGTTTGTTCGTGGATAGATTTGGGGTTGACACTTTCCTGCCCGCGAACCTTGTGTATTCTTGTCACCGCCTTCGTAACCGACCCTCGCTGGGTGTATTATCGTGTGCTCTGTCTACACACACGAGTGTGGAGCCTCAGGGAGAGTGAGGCTTCTCCATGAGACTTCGACTGAAGGAGAGATAGACGAGACTGAGAGGCAGAGAATTGGTCGCATGCACAACAACAACAACAACAACGGTGTGGGTACGACCTATGGTTGAAGATGAGGGGGTGAGGGGGTGATCAACTAAACATTTCACCGTTGATTTTTTTGCCGGAAGGTTTTCTGCCTGCGCGTTATGAAGGGGTAGCGTTGCTGCACCCCTGTGCGAATCAGTCACGAGGCCTCACAGAGCGAAGGGCACTCGATGACGCATTCAATGGCATGTTCTGGCATGGTACACGATGCCAAAATCAGGGTGACTTCCTGCGCATCGGGTAACAAGGCTCCAACATCGTGTACCGAACCGGAACAACGACCTTATTTTTCCTTCCCATAGCGTCGGGTCAAGACATGACGTGCCTTCGTTTCGGGACTATAGTTCCCAACCAGTTAATCTCCATCTACATTGACCACCCTGCACGCCAACTAAACCAAGGTCTCAATCCAGTAAGGCCTCGATCACACCAGCACAGCCATATAGGGTTCCCTCATGCACTACACAAACCAGCAGTACTTCTGTCTCTACCGGTGGCAACAGTCTCAGATCAAAGGTAGAGCAACCCAGCTTCCCAAAGCTCGGGCATGGGCTCAATGAGCAAAGCCATCGGCGGAGGAGTAGTGCCGTCCTCGGCCGCACCCGTCCCGCCCACCCCGAGCACCGTTGTCTGCGACGCCGCAAACGCCGCCATGGCCGCTTCGTGCAGCTGCCCCACGGTCCTCACCGTGACGACGAGCGTCTTCCCGGCCCCGGCGCAGGCGCTCGAGGCAATCCGGAGAACCGTGCCCATGTCCCCGCTCTCCCAGACAGACGGCCGCACCCCCGGCAAAAACACGAGGCCGCCGCCGTCGCGCTGCTGCTGTGCCGCCGCGACAATGCCCATGGCCGCCGAACTACCCGCAGCCCCCCCGGCGGCGTTGTCGCCGACGGGGTCGACCCTAACCCCTACAACGTGCCCGCTCGAAACATCCACCACTACTGCTGTGCCGTCGGTGCCGCCTAGCCGAAAGCACGGGAGCGCCGCCGCGGTCTCGCCGAGTGCCACCATCTCCTCCGCCGCCCTTTCCTCTGGCTCCGCCGCGTAGAGCAACGCCCCGACCGGGTTCGGTACGCGGCTCAGGGTCCAGTCCGTATCCTCCGGGCTGCGCCCTAGCGCTTCCTCCCTCTGCCGGAGCTCGCCGTATAGCGTCTTGAGGGTCTGAGCGGCGGGGAGAACGGCGGTACGCATGTCTAACCACAGGGCAACGCCGCTGTCGGCGCCGGGGCGTGCCGCCTCGCTCATCCGCGTGGTCCTCTGCGTGGCGGACCGGTGGCGGTGGCCGAGGCGAGGCTTTGAGGCCGAGCTTCTCCGGGAGGAGGTGGTGGTTGTGGCTGGATGTAACGCTCTTCTTGTTGACGGCGAAAACGCGTAGGCCATCAGCGGCAGAGGTGGCGATGCTCCCGTTGGTGTTGCAAGGGGTGGTGGGTCTCGTGCGTGGTGGACGTGACGACCCTCCCCTGCTGAGCAGGTCTGGAGCAGCGAGATCGTGGCGGCATGCCAACAAGGACTGAACCTCATCCGCAACGGCGCTTTTTTGGCTTTCTCTCGCTCTGCGAGGACGCGCGTATGGGGGGACGGCGTGATTCAATGCTACTGTAACCGACACTGGGTAGGGTGAGGGACTATTTCGCTGCTACAACAATAGCTGCATGCTCAGTGCTAAGTCGACTCCCGTCCCTCTCTCGCCGTCTACATACAATCTTTTCTATGTGACAAGCCGGGAAGCCGGGTACAACGGTATGACGCCGTTTGTCATGAACCAAAAAATGACCCAAAAAACGATGCTGCGATGCCTGCGTCTCACCTAACAACAGTGACGGAGACGACACTCAGCATGCGGACGAACCAGCGCTTTCCTGAAGAAGAAGGGCGCCTGTAAACACGCAAGTGCAACAGCGCTGCTCTCTTGTGGTGAATCAAGTACCATCCTGCACGCACCCACTGGCGGCTAATCTATTGCCGGTTCGGGAGGAAATTTAGGAGACACCGTAGATGCCGGAAAAGGGCCGAATATCACCCATTGTGGCACGTATAACGCACTGGATTTTTAAAAGTTTCTTGATCAACGGCGGTGGTGATGCCCGCCAACAAAAAACGAACACGCATTTCATTCATACTTCCTGCGGTCGAGAGGGGTACGGAGGGAAGGAAGGAAGAGCAGCCAGCAGCAACTATGTCGTCGGCAGGCAACAACGAGATGCAGCTGAGCGACCCCCCCACAGACGGCATCTCGGCCGTGTGCTTTGCGCCGGCCAGCGACCTGCTGCTGGCGTCGTCTTGGGATTCGGTAAGAGCGAGCGAGACAGCTCCTGTGAGAAATGGGCACTCGAGTACGTCGTGTCTTTTCTTGTTTGTATGTAGGGCACGACAGAGTATTGGCGGCGTGTTGATGGAGACGCGGAGAAAGGAGAGTTCGCCGGGGTGGGGTTGATTCGCACCAACAACAGACCGATCGTATTTGGCGTGCTGCTGGGAGGCGCAAGTTGCCTCTCGCTCTAGGCGAAACGAATTAACGGGGTCTCCTCTCTGTCCCTCTCTTTTGCAGGCCGAGGGCTTGAACAGAGTCAAGCGCACACCGGATGAATTTTAATTTTCTGTTGCCCAACGTCTTGGTCCGTACAAATGTAGCAGCAGCAAATCGTGTGCAACACGCAAGAGGGCCCCTGTTTCCCCCGTCGGTACAGTGCTCTGGTCCATCCTGTATCGTTCAGCACACACGCACACGAAGCAGCGGATTCCTGCATTAAGGAATAATAAAAACACACACAGAAAGACTACCCATCCGAGATATCAGGTATCATCTACGTGGATACAGGTTTCCCGCACTTATTCGTTTCTTTACAATTGGCATGTGTTTGCTGTGTGTGGACGGGGGCGGCAGGCGTTGGCCGCCGTTGTATATGTACAATCTTTTCTGAACCGTCGAATCGGTCAGCAAAGGTTGGTGTGGATGCTCCATCCCGTTCAGGTGTATATCGCCGCTGCTTGTGCAAGAGGACTCCCGGCAACCTTACTGATGTACGTATCAGCAGCGCTCCTAAAAGGGGCACACCTTTTCGTCGCCGCTTGTGTGTAGATTTGGCACGGTCTGTTCGCCGAATGTGTTCACGTGTAAGACTTCTGTGTCGCACAACTGACTGCTGTCTCCGCACCATCACCTGCTGTGCGAGGAGACTCAGCTTGCCTCTCAGCACTACAATAATACTGCTGTGAACCGAGAGGCATGACAATCCATGCACTCTCGACGATGATGATGAGCATACTGCTGTGTCTAATAGCAGCGGTACAGCAGCTATAGTGTGATAGTGACAAACGAAGCCCCGGGCGGGGCCTTTGCCCGCGGGCGCAAGAAGCCATCGCACTAACGCACGGAAACCGCACGAGGGTCGTTTTGGCGAGGTGGTCGTCCTTGTTGGTGTTTGTTCGTCCGGTGCACCCACTACTGCCTGTACCTTTCTTGCGACCCTCACTCTTTCCTGCCCCCAAGCATATCGCTGTGTAGATGTAGATATGTGGAAGTACGTGCACTCAAGAGCAGCAGCAGCAGCAGCAGTCTTTCGACAGCGCGGCGTATGGGTTGCCTTCGCCGATTGATTGCGCGGGCGTGGAGAGAAAAGCTGCTGCACGCTGCACGCCCCCGCCGAAATACATAAATTTTCCAAATACGGTAGCTCTTTAGCAGATGGTACCGACGAAGGGGAAACGGATGAGTTTCTGAGAATAAATTTATGGTAAATAATTCGCAGCAAATAATGACGATTAGTATTATGTGGTAAACATTGCCTGCGTTCGGGTGCATGATAGGTGTGAGACTCGGACTACAGATACGATGGTGGATGGTACTCCATAGATGCGAGAGTTAGAGTTGTGCATCTGCTTGCCACGAGAGAGGAAAGTCAGCAAAATAAATGGACAAATATTTGACAACCTACCTCTCTTTGCATGAATAGCAACCGCCGAAGATTTTGCGACACGCAGCAGTCAGTACAGCAGTAGTCTACGCAGCAAATTTGAATTGGTGAAGATTTGATATACCCCCCCACAGAGCAAGCAAGCTGCCAGAGTTCACGTTCGATATGTAGGTGCCGCCGAACAACCATCATATTGGAAAACGTTGAGACCGAACAGGGAAGGAACAGGCGGTCGGTGGGAGTTAAGACGCGGAGATCACCCGGCAATATACTAAAAGGGGGAGCACCAACAAGAGACAGAAAGACGGACAGCAGTATGCACACACGATGAGTTGATGGATGATATGCTGCGTTAAGATCACCGTCGACAGCGCAATATGCATTTCCTCATTTCACGCTCGAGACGCAGCAGCAAGGCGTGCAGCATCGACAGCAGCAGCAGCATCGTGACCCTTTTTGAATGCCCCAAAAAAGAGTGTTCCAGCCAACAAGGACTGAGATCAGCAGAACGACAAGAGTAGCAAGAGAGAGAAAGAGAGAGGGGTGGGGGGTGGGGGGCAAGCCCTTGCGGTGCCGTTGCATGCAGTATTATCGCGGTACAGCAGCGGTAGGCCCGGGTTAGCAACCCCCATTGTTCAGCGAAATGCCCTTTGTAGAGACGACCTCGCGTGGCACCCTTGCCCTGTCCAGTAGCCACTAGGGCACGCACTTGCATACCGGCAATAGGAAGCTGTCCTGAAAAGCGCCCACATTCCCTCGTGACACTACAACGGGGTCGCTAAACCGGACCCACTGCTGTAAGTCGGCAACACATGCTGCATGAAGCCTAAAGCATGAGGCACGCCGTTTTGCCCCTCGTGACGGTGTGGGTTCCCCCTGTGCTCTTGGTAATAAGAGATCGAGTTCGTGCATTAGGGTTATTATTAACGCAACGTCGAAATCGTTCTTTTTTAAACGGAACGGTTAAAAGAAAACCCGACTTTTTTTTGCTTGTTCTTTTCGTGATGTCATCGCAAAAAGTACGTTTTCTTCCCTGAATACACGCTTTGCTCGGCACACAACAGGTTGACATGGTATTGCTCACCATAGAGCAGCGATAAAAGCGCAATAAGCAGCACCCGGCACAGAGGACAACACACTTAGAAAGATCCCGTCCACCCGGCCTGCTGTTTTCAGTTTTCAGCAACAACAGGCGCACGGCAGAGTGTCGCAACCTGGGTGTTGCTTGCGATTTCTTCAGTTTGCCAGCTCATTTTTCACGGTTGCGACTCCCATCTTTGACCACCACCTACCCAAAGGTAGACGAGCTCAACAATCATAGGGCGGCAGCCGCGCTGACGGCCAGCATCATATAGATGGCCAATCCGAAAGAATTAGCGTGTTGGAGGCCCTGTTGCTCTACTGCTGCGTGGCGCCGTGGATTGATGTTGATGTGTCCGACCAAAAACAGATCATCTCGCCGCAATTTTTCCAACGGCATTTTGGTGAGGTGGCACACGTCTCTCACACACCTTATTGAGCAACACCCAAGCACCCAATACCCACGAAGCAGCACGGCGCCGGGAGATGGTATCATATAGACAGCCGAACCGAAGGAATCAGCGCTTTGGAGGTCTTGGTGGTGCTGCTGTACTCGGTCTACTGTTTCCGTGTTTGCTATGTGTGATCGAAAAAAAATCCCCAGCACCAACAGCAGCAGTTGAAGACGAGAGCACCACGCAATGTCTAGTTTTGGACCAAGAACGGACTGAACGCCGCTTCTGCCGCTTGTCCATCTCCACAACAGACCTGGATGTGAGTCTCGCAGGTCTTTCTAGCGTTCTCAGTGATGTTGCAGCGCCCGCGGTGCGCTTGTCCGATGCTTCTGTCAAAAACAAGCAAGCCCCCAAAAAAAACGACTCCTTTTCACGCTTTCGGGGAAAAACTCCTCCATATATGTTCAAGAAAACACGGTTTCGTTTTTTTTTTCGTGTTTTATTGGTCGATAACAATAGCCCTTATCCCTAATTTCCGAGGTTGGTATCTAGCCGAGGTGTAGGGCTTCGGGGTTGCGGGCGGCGGCGTTTGACCGACCTCGGCCGTTGAGTTGGGTTGGGCTCGAGCACGTACAGTTTTGCATTGTTTAACTCGTCTACAGGTTTCTTCGGCCGGCTTGGGGTGTGTCTTTCGTTCGAGGGTGTATGCGGTGTCATCACCCTTGTTGTTTGGGCGCGCCGATTTTCTTGATAGCTTTCGGTGCGTTTTTTTGGAAGCACGGGCAACAGGGTCATACCGCGGGAGGATGTCCGCACAGGATTTATTTTCTATTTTTCCCAATTCCCGTCCGCAGTGATCGATAGATAGTCGCAGCGTACGCCTCATCTACTGACTTCCTGGCTGGCAAACTTATCTGCGTTTTCGTGTAGTCACTTGCGATGAACGAACGATCCGGGATCACGCAACGTTTCGGGGCGGGCCGATTCGGCGGTGTTTGCCGAACACTTGTCGCTGGTGACGCGGCATGAACAATTACCATGAATGTCGGAGAGATGGCGCCCTCATGTTCGCGTTTTTTTATAGCGTACTGCTGTATTTCTCCACAACCAGGGGGGGTACCACTGCCGAAATTGTTTTGGAAACATCTCGTGCTTTCCTGACGGTTGGTGGTAGCACCCTCTCCTATGTGGTTGTAGAGAAATGCTTACATATATTCGCTGACATGGGGGTGCCATCTCTCCGACTCCTATACCAGAGAAAAGCGCTTGTCTGTCTGTCTGCCTGTCTGCCTGTCTGCTGCCTGCCCCCCCGCCCCCCCCCCCACTCCGCGCAACGGGGGATGATCGCACCACGTTGTGTTAAAATGGTCAAGCATCCTCGAGGCAGTTACACAGTGCTTACAACTGTCTCTGGAAGTGAAAGCACCAGAAAATAAATTAAGTCATACGTAGCTGTCATCCGTACGCAAGGAAGTAAGCACAAGATGCCGAACACCCTTAGCAGGATGCAGCTCACCCTTCATGCGACTCGCCGAATACCTCACGGCGCCTCGCGCTTGGTGATGTGAGAGCCGGGTCCGGTGAGAACCCGGCGTGCTCCGTCCCGGCTTTGTAGGGATGCGAGGTCAATGGTCTAACGACTACGGCATACACGACTATGAGTACACCCCCCCCCCTTTTTCCCCGCACTGTTAAAATGACAGCAATATTTATTTATTCCTGCTGTTGTTCGCCTCTTGACACATGTTTCGCCCCCTGTTCCCCTCCTGTCTGCGGTGTTGTTGTCGGTTTCGGTGGTGCAGACGCTGAGACTGTACGATGCGCGGCAGAACCTGTCCAAGAGGGTAATCCCCAGCAAGATGGCCCAGCTGGACTGCTGCTTCAAGGACACCTCGGCCACGGGCTTCTGCGGGGGGCTGGACAAACAAGTCAAGCAGTGAGTAACGTCGGTTGTCGTTAGACTTCCACAGATTGCGCCCGCACTCACGAACTTGGCACGTTCTACGTGTGTGTTTGTGTTCGTCCCATACTTTCTGGCGCCGGTATTCAGGCGTTTTGGCGTGTTAACATACCTGACGTGTCAGCCGGGGTCACACAAGAGGAAGGTCACACCAGTGTGGAGCTTTTTTTAATATTTTTTGTGTTTGTTTTTTACTGCCCCACCCTTCCTTTCCCGGTGCGGTGCTTGCCTTAGTTTTTTATCCCGAGAAGGTTTGAGCCATCCCTTTTTTTCACTCCTTCCCTTGCCGACCGTGAAGCCGAAGTTCAGTGGGGCCTCGAAAACCTGAAAATCTAAGGACTTGAGCACCAATTTATGAGCAGCGAACGGTTAAGGTCACTCAAACCTACCACCATATGTAGCGGTCATCCGTGGCACAGCCCTCAGAACTTAAGAACCTCGGCCTCGTCCAAGACTAGAGGTTCTTGAGTGCTCGCGCTAGCTGTACGACGTTTCGTTCCAAGTGCTTTAAATACAACTGCGGGATTAGGGTTGCAGACAATCGATGTCTCTGTCCGTCAACCCTCTTGCCTTGAAAACGTAAGAGAAGAGAAGGTACGATCTCCAGCAGTCGTTGGTGGAGCTTTCGTCCGCTCGCGCTCGGTGTAGGCTACCCTCCTCGCTCCCGCTTGCCCACTAGACACCGCCGTGTCAATCATCACAGCACTAAATGTATGCGTCTTGGTGATGTAAAACTGTAACATGGTGAAAGGGCAATGCTGAATTTTATGTTCGGTAGCGTCTACGGTTTAAGAGAGGGTCGGGACAAGCCAGTTATTTTCTCTTAAATCCGGTTTTCTCGTAAACCGTACTGTGTGAATGGTATGTATTTGATCATGGTCGTGACAAGCCAGTTTGACTCTCTTTAATGGGTACCTTCTCTTAAATAATCTCTCTTAAACGGTAGCCACCGCTGTGTCCGTCTTTGGTGACGTAACCTTTATGTATGTAACTTGGTGTGTCAGAGTCGACCTCGAGACCGGAGCGGTGACCCTGCTGGGGTCCCACGACAAGGCGGTGAGGTGCGTGGAGTACAACGCCAGCACGGGGACGGTGCTAACGGGGGGCTGGGACGCCAAGCTCAACGCCTGGGACCCGAGGTCGAAGCAGGCGCTCGTGCAGTCGAGGCCCGCGCCTGGGAAGGTGTGTATGCGAGGGGCGGGCGGGGAGGGGGGCGGGGTTCTGGGACCCTAGGTGAAAGCAGGCCCTCGTGCAGTCGAGGCCCGCGCCTGGGGGGGGGAGCTTGAATCGGGGTTACCCCTGTGATGTGAGAGGAAGCACGGCTACGTGGGTTGGTGGCGGGGGATGGGGGGCGGGGCTTCGAGGAGAGGGAAGCTTGAATCGGGGTTTCCGCTGTGCTGTGAGAGGAAACACGCCTCCGTGGCCGGTGCCAGCTTTATCTGTCTCGCCCGTTGTTGGCCGTGTTGTCGTTGTTGCTGCCTCATGTTGCTATTGCTGCGGCTGCTGTTTCGTGTTGCTGTCACAGGCCAGTCAACCTCAATCGGATACCGTAGGCCTTGGGTGAAGCTGGCCGGGCTCGGTTCGTTCCCTCGACGTTGCACGCCCCATTTTGTAGGAGATGGCAATGCTGCTGTTGCAGTGGCCACAGCTGAACGTGCGCGGTGGTCATGCTGTGCTATGTTGTCAAAGCTGTTCCATCTTTTCGGGAGACACGACCCTGCACTGTCGTTTTGGCACGTTACAATTCCTCGAACCACAGGACGTCGAGTTCGCACACGCACCTCAACTCCTTTTTCACGTATCTGACCGCTCACATGTACGCTTGTTTTTTTCTGTTTCTTGTCTGATGATCATCCTTTTCGGCGCGTTTTTTATATATACACACACTCGCACCCACGCTCCCCCCGCGAGTCTCGCCGTGTGTGTGTGTGTGTGTATTTTCTCCTCTTTTTTTGCAGCTCGTTTTCTGAGGCTGTTCCCATTATTCCCCGGGTGCCTTTGTCTGTTTCTCTGCGCGTAGTTGTGTACCTGTTGGCTGATGAAACCACACTTTTTTTTTTTTTCACGATCGGAACCAGGTCTTCACCATGTCCGTCTCGGACATGCGCGCCGTCGTCGGTACCTCGAACCGGCACATCTGGGTGTACGACATGCGCAGCCTGGCGGAACCGGAGCAGCGGCGCGTCAGCAGCCTCAAGTACCAGACGCGCTGCGTGAGGATATTCCCGGACCAGAAGGGTTACGCGGTGGGGTCTGTGGAGGGGAGGGTGGCCGTCGAGTACTTCGACACGTCCAAGGTGCGGGTGGGTGTTGGTTGGGGGCCCGCCCTTGACGCGAAATTAAGTTCATGAGGAAATAAATAGAACAGGGAGCAGGGGGGGGGGGGGGGGGCGTACTCATTTGTTGCTTGCCGTAAGTCATTTGACCATTGACCACGCGTCCCTTTCGAGACGGAGCACCGTTCCTACCCCTACTAGAGACACCACCAACATTTGGGAGCTCTTTACGTTTCTGACACAAACTCCATAAAAATTTCTTGCACATCTTATCCCCGTCCTCTAGGGCCTCTTGTGCCCACCATCTATCCCCAATTATCGCGATCGTTTTTTCGCTGTTGTCTAATTTACCAAACTTGTCCATGTCACACCCTCTCTATCTCATTTCCTCCTCGAGATCCTCTCTTTCCTTCCTGTACAACTCACACTCCCCAACTATGTGGGGTCTACTCTCCTCCGATTTGCCACATGGCAAGGGGGGGGGGGGGGGGGGATACGCAGACCCTACCCCCAACCCAACTTTCCCGATGGCATGCTTTATCAAATACGAAGTAATTTTTATCTTAGTCGAAAAACACCGCGGAAGGTCCTCGTTGGTTGCGGTGGTGTTGTTGGTAGCGGTGGTGGCGGTGCGTGTTGACGTTTTTTTGGAGCTAGTGTTTAGCCTTTTGTTGGGCAATCGACACGCAGGTTGGGTGTGTCGTTTCTGGTGGGGGTGGTCGTGGTGGTGCTGTTTTCGTGTGAGGCGGGCTGTTTTGTTTTGCTCTCGTCGTTGCGGCTGGTTTCCCCCGGCCTTCCTCGCACAGTTCCGTGGAATGATGGTGAAACTGCCCACATTTACTGAACATCTGCTATTTGTATTTTTCCATGTTTCTACGGTACGGTACGGTACGGTACGGTACGGTACGGTACGGTACGCCACATTTTTATGTTGTTGTGTGCTCTGTTGAAGACGCAGCATCGAACGATCAAACCCAGTGCCCCAATCGTCCTTAAGGTACATTTCAACCTTATTTGGCGCTCCACCATGACTATGTATGACATACTAGAATTACCGTGGCGCTGAACTTTTCATGATTTCCAAGAGCAGGCGTTCCAACGGTTCTTTTTCCGTAGATGACGGAAGATATTACCCCCTCCTTTGACCGATGTTCATTTCTCGATTACTCCACGGCGGAAAGAGGAGGTGTCGAAAATATTGGTGGTTGAATCCCCTCTTCGAGGGCGTTTCCGACAGCGCTTCGTTTGACTCCCTACACCTTCTTGGTGGTGGATTGATTATTCGATCTTTGAAAAGATCAGTCCAAGGGGATATGACTTGGGTTGGGGTTAGTGGTGTCTCGTGTCACCTGCGGTAGATTCCTCATGACTGTCGTGTCGGTGCAGTCTTGCGAGCTTTCTCCGAGTAAGCAAGTGGCAGATTTGGCCCCTTTTGTTTTGATGGGTTCGTGCGCCTGTAGTGCGCTTCGTGGCTTTTGTTGCGCAAGCCTGCGTGCGCGTGTCGAGGGTTCTCTTCGAAAAGCAAATGGCCGAGCGTGTGATGTACTAACATGAAGGTTCTCGGTGCGTGTATTTTTTTTTGCTTTTTCGTCTGTCCGTTTCCTACTACACTACGTGCGCGCGCTTGCACGCGTCCGCGTGAGAGCAGGAGTCTCAGGACAACAAGTACGCCTTCAAGTGCCACCGCAAGGGGGACCAGGTTTTCCCCGTGAACGCGATGGCCTTCCACCCGGTATACGGGACCTTCGCCTCCGGCGGCTGTGACAAGGTAAGGGTGGCGGGTCAAGACTAGTAGAGTCATGGGAGAACCTTGCAAGTGCCGTCCACCCGCACGAGCGCGTACCTGTTTTGGGCGAGTTTGCGGGGGGGGCTTGCAGAAATATGAGGGTACGGGTACATGACACACAAGGATAAACTATTCATCTATTTGCGGTACTTTACTCCAAGGGAGTGTTCTCCACGGGACATGACAGAAATAGTGGAATGTGAGATGCGTATTCCACGGTGTCAATCTGCTCCGTCGTGCCTCGACTCCAGCCAGCCACCCCAGCCACCCCAGAGCTATTTCTCGAGACGGATCGGATCGGAATCTCCCACCCCTCGCCTCTGTCGGGCGTCCTTGCCTGATTGAGCCTGCCCCGGATCTCGGCTGTGGTTTTACCATGGTTGCCGCGGCCAACCGGGTGGTGTCTTTGAAGCAACTATTGCAGGACTCACGCATGGGGCTCCAACTCTAGCGAGAGGAAGATGCAAGGGGTTATCTGTCCTCAAGTGTAATACGAAGTGGGAACAAGGGCGTCCCTGTTTAAGTGCACTAGCAAGACAACAGTTTTTCAATGCACAGCCGGCTCTCCTCCCTGCCGTTCGCCTTCTCGACCAAACCGTCGATCACACAAGTACCCCCCTCTCTCGATTCTGCCGGCTCCCGTGTCGATTATGCGTGGTGGCAACATGAAGCTTTCGTAGCACGGCGGTTGTCTAAACTCCAAGGTTTGCGTCGTTAAAGGTCAAGCGACCTCGGCAAGCACGCATTGAGCACCCACCCCTCCCTCCCCCATCACCTTCTTCCAGATGGTGAACATCTGGGACGGGAAGAACAAGAAGCGTCTGTGGCAGTCGAGCGCGTACAACACGGGGATATCTTCCCTGTCCTTCAACCACGACGGCACACGCCTCGCGATCGCCTCCTCCTACACCTTCGAGCAGGGTGCCATCGCGTAAGTTTTTTTTTTTTTTTTTGTACTGACCGCGGATTGGAGGATGCAGCAACGCAACGTGTGTAGAGCGCTGAATCAATGCGATGGATGGAACGGGAAAGTATGGCTTTGTTGTCGTTGTTTGTCGGTGCCTCGTGATGCGGTGTTTCCTCTAATATGTGTGTGTGTGTTTTTATTGGGTGTTGGCGCTGGTGCTTCGCCACCCCCCCCCCCTCCGCCCTCGTTGCATCCACCGTCCCCCCCGATAACCGGATTCAGCCCCCACCGTTTGTGGCATCTTCAAACATTGTGCAGCTGTCCCGGGGCACACACATAGATAAGCTCCTGCAACCAGACCCAAAAACCATGAACATGTCTCTGCCGCGGAACCTCCCCCCTGCCCTGCTGCTGTTCGGTTCCAATGTATCCCACCCTTGATGTACTGCTGGTTATTCCGCAGTCACCCGAAGGACCAGATCTTCGTGAGAGACGTGATGGACTCCGACGTACGGCCGAAGGCGCGCAAGTGAACGAACAGCGCGGTAAGGTCTCCTAGGGAGGGACCGACAGCCTAGAGAGCGAGCGAGCCGCCTCCCGAGGGATGCGCGGGGAGGATTGGGTGCACGGCGGTGCTGGTGGCTGTGGGAGGGATGGTGGTGGAACCTGGCCCACCGATATCGTCTGGTTGTGGTTGGTGTTTTCTCGAGGGAGGAGGAGAAGGAGAAAGCAGAGCAAAGATCCCGTCCTCCAAACCGATAAGATCCAGCTTCGAAGACCATCTTCATCGCAATGGCCCCCTTTTTTTCGTCGCGCGATCTTTGCTCCCTGTATCCTACAAGTGCGGGCGGGAACCGCATGCAGTGGTAAAACTAGAGTTTTTTGTTCGTCGGCGTTTTGAACTGTGTTCATGTGTGTGGTAAACGGTATGTGTGTAAGCGCGTACGTGTGTCGGACATGCTACATATGTTTTTTGGTGAGTCTGGTCTCCTTCGAGGCGTAGAGTTTTTTTTTTTTCTTTGTCAGCGCCGCGGTTGTGTGGCGTACTAAATAACCGCATGGGTGGCACTATGTGTAGCTGCAGTTACCATTTATTTACGTGTGGACCGCCGTTATACGCGGCACAGTAACGGGGCGATATAACGTGGCATATTTTGCCCGAACAGTCCTCCGTCGAGACGTACAGGGCGCGCCATACTGTCCCCGTAAACGTCACGCCAAGTTTGTGCATGTGCGCGCTGCTGCTGTATGCGGTGCGTTTTTGTGTGTGGAATTTCTCGCCCTCGGAGACGTTTCACCGTTCCGTGGTGCTGCAGCGGTGCGTTACGGTATATTGCGTGTATGCGGTACGGACCCGTGCGTGGGACGTATGCGGTATACCATATATACCCGCGGAATAAGGTATGAACCTGTACGTGGGACACGTACGCACGGCGTGTGGTATGTTCTGCTCGGGCAACCCTTCTTTTTCGGCACGCTTTAGAGAGAGAGAGCGAGCGTTGGACCTCCCTCCGCGCTTTCTGTCAAGCGACCAAATCTCGGTTGGGGTGTCTTTTAGCTTTCCTCCCCCGATCTCTGTTGCGGCCAAGACTAAGGAAGGCGTTTCTTCTTCTGCTCCTCCGGTGTAGGGGGTCTGCCGATAAAGATCTCGATGCCGGAAAGTTATTCCTGGAAAAGACTGCTGTGATAGAAATATGCTGCTGGCGATAGGTGCGTAGCGGGGAGGTTGAGGTGGGGGAACGCGTACGGAGGGAGTTTCATACACCGGTTTCGATTTTGGCACGGCAACCACATCAGCAGGAGGGAGGACTACTGCTGTTGAGTGCCGCCCCTATTGTCGCCACGCGTCGTTGAGGGAGCGCCGGTGAAGCATGCCCCGTGAAGCATGCCCTACCGCCATTTGTTGGAAACCCGAGGAGGCCTTGGTTCCAATTTGTCAAAGAGGGATGCGGCGTATTGTTGAAACGGCTCAAGCGTAGGAGGATGCTTTTGTTTGTGTTTGTTGCATGAGGGGGAGCAGGAGGGCGTCGTATGCCAAATCCGTTTTTTCGTTTTTTCACGAGTTTTTTTTTGTTTCGTTGTTTTACGGGTTGATACTGTTTTCTCGTTTGTTGTTTTTCGCCCCCCGTCCCTCTTGTCTTCTACTTGCATGTTTCGATGGTTTCGCATTTATTATGCAGTACTTAGTTGAAGTGTCAGGGTAACAGTAGTGGTTGGAAAGCGCTAGTGTTTTGAGGAAGTGTGATGCGCTGCTGAATCGGTTTTGTATCACATGACTGCACTGTGACTGACAGGGGGGGGGGTGAGCAGCAGTGCGAGAGGGGGGGGGGTGTTGAGCAAGGTCGTGGGAGGTGTGTAGGAAGGTGCAAGCACTCGCGGGGTGGGGGGTTGTGAGGGAATCTGACGCGACCGCCTAGAGCATGCATAGTCCAGGAAACTGCGGTGGTTGCATATTCTTTTTTTCGTTTCTTCTTCTTGTACCTTGCGCGCGGAGGCCGCGGCGCGTTGATCACGAAGACGCCCAGTTCCACTTGTACATCTTTTGTGTGTGGACTGCGTTAGCTGTTATCTGTGGATTCCGCACTCTCTCTATCTTCTTGGAAATTCGTGTGTCTCGTTCAGTCGTGGAGCTCCAAGGAGCAGCGCGGTCGCGCGAGTTAGAAGTAGCGAGGACGGCGTCAAGAATTATAGTATCATAGTGTAAAGCCGAGGGCGAACTGACTTGTCTCTTTTCTGGCGGAATGTCGAGACCGAGAGCGGAGAGCGGAGAGCGATGTCCGAGCTGGGTCATTGCGAGGGCTGCTGCGCCTTCTCCGTCTGCTTGCAATCGGACCGCCTTCACGCGGTTAAGAAGTTTATGAGGAAATAGAGCGGGGAGGGGGGACACGCAGACAGACCCCATTCCCTAAAACCCTAACCCCAACCCAACTTCCCCGATCGTATGCCCTATCCTACATACATGTGTGCTAAATACAAGAAACCTGCGAAGGCTACTACTACTACTGTTTGTTGCAATCGGGAGGAGAGAGGAAGTGCTGTGTCCTCACGCGCACCATGGAGCTTTTCTTTAGTTTATCTTTCGCCTGATGATCTCGGCCACAACCTTCTAACGACTCCCAAACCGGTCGCCCCGGTGGTCTGTGTAGTGGTATAACCTCGAATGAATCCGCTGGTCGCAAAGTCGTGAGTTCGAATCCTATGGAGTGAAAAATTACAAGTTTCTGGTGAAAGCGTCATATTAAGAAAAATAAAAAAAACTGAAAAGCTCTCGTGAGTCCCAAACTTGGACGTTCTATTCATCACCGTTGACGAGGGAAGGGACGGCTGTGGACGCTTCTCGCGATGAAAAATAAAATTCAGCACGCACCGCAGGAGGAAGGTAGGGCATCAACGAACATAACAATCAAGAGAAGAAAGCCCTTTTTTTACCCCCTCCTGTCTGTGCGACCCTGGATGGTTAGATGCACTGCAGTTGTACGAAAAAAGTACACAAATGAAGTAGACGTCCTATACTTGAAGCTGACCTCTTACGAGAAATTCCAAACGCCTAAATTTTGGGGTTTCCACCGTTACTTGAGCATAAAAATGTCACCACGCCCGGCGATTTCACGGGGGGGAGCAGACCCTACAGTAGTGTCTAGGATCTGAGGCCACTTGATACCATGATGTGACATGTTGTCTATGTACAGTATGTACATCAGCAGCAAAGAGTGTTGGGGTTATTTACCGGGCTCACAAACCTGCTCAATCAAGTTCGTTTGATTCAAAAAAGTGGAGCAGCATGAAAACCCACCTATCTGATGATGTAGATACGGTCTTCTGTGCTGTGATGTTAGCATTTCACAGCTGCGACTAAATAGACACGGAGGAGGTCGCACGCACCGTACGTACGTATGTTCGTTTAAATCGGAAGAACACGACACGATGGATGAATCAATCATGTGATTAGTGGAGTGCGGAACGTGTCGATGTGTCACTACCGTCGTAGTTTGTGGCAGTTTTGTACAGCGGTACCAATACGGTAGCTGACCGGCTGCTGGCTCAAGATAGTTCTGTCCCCCACGGGGGAGAGAATCTGCACACCTCCCCCAGCACAACGTATGGTAAGATACACAACATGATCACCACAGGGGAGATATCGAGATATATGTATGCTGCTTGCCCGGGGTACACACACACAGAGTGGTTGGTAGTCATCAGTCATCATGCATTTTTATTTAGCGAGGCATTTTGAGAAAGGAAGTACATACTGCTGTTGTTGTACGGTGTTGAAGCGAAAAAACACGATCTCACAGAAAGATACTACCATACAGCAGTAGTAGACAATGTACCCGCTCGAGATGTTAGCACACACAGCACAGAGCAGCCGAAAGGGATGTGTGTAAGTATTACCAGTTGTTGTTGTTGTTGTTGTTGTTGTTGTTGTTGTTGTTGTTGTTGTTGTTGTCGTTGTTATTTATTGTTGTCTTCACACATGACAGAGAAGAGTGAGTGGGAAGAAAAAAACCAGGGACTTTTACTTGACTCATCTGTGGTGAACGTGAACAGATGAAAAAACAAAGGGAATTTCCAGAGGGTCTGCCGATCCGCCAGAAAAGAACCGCGCGGGACCGTCCGCTTCGACCAATCCCTGATCGGAGATTACCGGATCGTACGAATCACTTGCTTAAATGACGTCTGCATCTCGCATTATTTCTTGCCGGCCAGGGGTGCAGACCTTCTTCGGCAGGTGCTGGTGACGGCCGGCTGGTGACGGCAACGAAACTACGTAGTAGTAGTCAACAGCAGTATACATACGTACAATGTACCACCGCTGTAACCTATCGCTGAAGGATCCCCACTGCTGCACCTGGTGCGATATGACGCCCGCACAGCACCACCGGCGGAACACGGAGAGACAACAACGGATCAAGCCGGTGAGCAACTGGGCTGTTTGGTTTTTTATGTGTTGGCGTGTGGTTTTGTGTTCGCGAAAAGCCAATCCGCGACCACCCCATGGCAGCAGGGCTACTTGAAGTCTCCCTGTTCGCCTGCGAAACAGAAAGCAAGCTGTGGAACGCCGGTCTCAATTGGTCACAGGAAGGAGTAGCAGTACAATGGGGATTTCGTTTGGCCTGACATACACCGCGCAGGCAAGCAGCGGGACTGTATTTGCTACAAGTATGCTGGATGGATCGATACCTGCCGTGTACGGCACCCTCAGAAACCAGATATCACGTGACGTGCGCTGTATGCATACGTCCAGCTGTTCGCTACAAGTGGCAATATATTATTCTGTGGTGGGTCTACCATTATTGTACTTACAGGCAGGATCGCCTACCATCAGTTTTCATCAGCATCAATGGAACCTACCTCTCCCATGCATATTCGGCACGTTGATCAGAGCTCGTGTACAACGCCGTGTGAGTCTGTTGCCAGTGGAAGACACCCCTCATCCAGTCCGTGCGCCCCGCGACCCCACATCAACAGTCATACATTGTGGAGATTTTTTATACAATGTGTCGCCCCCGTTTTCCATACAATGGTATGCATA